GCATGAAGTCGTGCTAATAACGCGAAGGTCGCAGGTTCGAGACCTGCATGGGCCATTCCTTTTTCTCAATTTTCAAGAAAGTTGGTTCTGTTTTGCTCATCCTCTGGGAGTCTCAAATCACACCTTAGCGAACTGGGTTTTCCTTTTCTTGGGTACTTCCAAGATTTTGTGATTAATACATGCACTTTGGTTTGTGATTCAAAGTTCAGTTATTTTGTTGGTTTGTCCTACTTTCTGTGCATCAATGGTATTTTGTGATTAATACATGCCAAGTCCTAATTCTCCTTCTGACAGCTTCAAGGGATAGTTGAGAAGATTAAATCCATGTTATCTTTGGCTAGATAACAACGTGTCGATCCCTCATTTGATATATCTACTTGTTCAACTGATACAACATAAAGCTGAGATTACCTAAGTCTTAAACACTGATACAACATGAAGCTGATAACCTAAAGTCTTTAAGCACTAATAATACACTCATTTCTTAATTTTAACCTGCATGGTTGCATGAGCACCATACTCCTACATCCCTCCCGGAGTACAACAAAATTCTTGTTAGTAGGGTCATCTATCAAAGGTTTATCGATGACCTCCGAAAGAAGACGGTGGATTCCTCCTCATCACATAAAAAGGAAAATAAAAATACAGAGATTCGAACTTCCATGCATGTCGGTTCATTCTCCCTGAGACCTAAAACAAACGATGGGAAGCCAAACTAGATTTTTATTCCTCTTTCTAGATGGACAAGTCAACAGGCAAAAAGTGAGGAATTATACTGGAAGGGGGTATCCACGAAGATAAGTGGAATCCACACCAGACTCCCGCTCCAACGCCACCCTCCCAGTTCGTGCAACCTTCAAGGTGGAAGAAAGATATTAAGATATGAGAAGTAAGAATCAGCCAAGAAAAAATGCGATCTTTTTAGACTAGAATACATAATTGTGCTGAACAATAAAATATGAATGCCCACTTGAATTGAAACTTAATGGTGTCTATAATTGCAAATTTCACCATCCGACATTCGGCTACCCTGCTTATCGATAACTTTATGCAATGCAATAAACTGACAGTCTGATTAAGGAGGTAAGAAAGGACAGCATTTCGTCCAATTATTGAGAATTTAGTTTAAACTAATATTGAACTAGCTCAAACACCTCTTTTCTAAAAAACAAAAGGAAATTCATAGGCAAATCAATTGTTGGGAACAAGATCAAAGAATGAGAAGACAAGACCTCACAAATCCCATAGGGCTCAAGTAACTTCTGCAGTGCAACCATCTTATTTATATCACCAGTAAGCTGAAAAACAAATTGAGTAGAGAGTATTAGCGAGACATTATGAAACAAAAGCAATAGCAGAAGCCAAATCCTTCGGGTAGTTGGGTAAGATTAAAGATAAAGCTCAGGTATAGTTTGACTTCAGTGGACTGATTAGTACAACTAAATACAAAATCATGCTCTCATTGATCCCGTTTGAAGGTGGCACTTCTCAACAGATTCCATTACACTAACCAAAAAGCAGGTAAATTCAAAATATTATTTATGTCAAAGATGCAATCCCGAATGTGGTGTAATGAAACAGTTTAGTAAGCCAAGATTTATTTTAAAGTTCACAACTCATCTATTGTCACCACTATTGTTACTAGTCTTACTCAGGTAGATGAGTTATGGTCCAAATTCCAATGACCAACAGAGGGAAAGAACTTTCTATCCTACTTGTAGAATTTTCAAGTATAAGACACTATCACAAATATAGTTGACAGGAATGCAGGAAAAGGTTTCAACCTCAAGGGTAATTGTATGATCAGATACATCAACGGCTTTAGCACGGAAAATGCTGGCAATATCAAGAACATCCCTCCTAGCAGTAGTGTTCACAGCAATCTTTATCAACATCAACTCTCGCTCTGCAAATGGTAAGTGTGTGATATCCCGAACCTGCAGAAACAACCAGCTTTATATCATCCATCAAGGCATGAACAAATCTTATTTTGTGAATAACCTCGGAAAAAATTCATCATCTCTAAATTGAACTCATTGCACATAAATATTGAATTGGGGAAGGATCATATTATTAATAGAGAGGAGCAGATTTTGATTAGTTGAAATAGGGAGAGGAAAATTAAAAATATCCTGGGTTATAGACCTACTATATATATTTAGGCATCAACCCCAACCTACCACATTGACCTGACTGCCAACAAAACAATGGCATTTAATTTGCATGTTTGAAGATTGTCAACTCCATAACTACAAACAAACTTTGCAAATATATATAGCCACCTTGTAACAATTTTCCTTTTTCTTTTTTCTTTCAGAGATTAGTCGATCATCACCCAAAACAGATATTGCATATTCTCAAAAAACTTGTCAATGTGCAACCCTCACCTCGTGAAGATCTATTAACTTGTGAAGTTGCTGGACCAACTTGGTAATTGAATCGTCAGTACCGGGAACGACAGTTGTAATGCGAGAAAGCCCTTCCTTTTCAGCAGGCCCCACAGCTAGGCTCTAGGAGTATGAAGTGAAAGCCAATAATCACATGAGCAAAGGCCAAGGAAAACCAAATATAAAAAGATGAGCGCAAATCACCGGCAACAAACCTGAATGTTATAACCTCTTCGAGACATGACTCCTGTAACTATGTTTAGAACTCCAGGGCAGTCATTCACAATCATAGACAAAGTGTGTGATTGAACCCCACTTGGCTGAAATATTAAATTGCATGGCACAAAGGTTAAGTCAAAATGGCACTGATTTGTAGAGACACCAAACATGAATTAAAAATTAAAAACTTACTTCCTAGGTAGTTACATCAATCTGTGCACCTTGTACATCGCGTACAAGGCAATTTTTGGACTAAAAGTGAAATACAACTTGAAGCATTTTAGGATTGTAAACTTACATCTTCATCATAGAGAACACCCCAATGAGCATCAAGAACTTTATTCAAACGAAAGTCATCATAGGGCTCCACAGGATAAACATCACCCTTCAATAATAAAATGACATTCACTTATGTTCAATCCGAAATGACCAAGACAATAGTAAAAGTTGTGCAATGTATATAAAACTGAAAAGGGAGATTGCTCAAGCCAATTTTCTTTAGATCAGCACATACATGTTATCATCATAAATGACAACAGTTATCAGAGAACAGCATACCTTCTTGTGCAACAAATAAAGAACTAATTGAAGTCATATCATTATTTGATTTATTTACATGTGTACGAGGCACACACTATAGGAGAATCCCTTTTGGCCCTATAAAATGTTTCCATCTAAACAAGAAAAAGATAATTATCCATGCAGGGAGAGAAATTAACAGCATATAAAATCTCCTCAATAGAACAAACATACATACCCTTGAGGCAGTACTGGCATCAACATTGAGTGAACGGTTTGCTTTCACCGCAATATCATCAATAGCCATTGACTTTTCAAGATCTGGATAAGAAGCTGCAGAGAATCTCCAAAAAGGAGCTGTCTCACCCATCTTTTCTCGTCTCAAAGCAATCTGTTGGTAAAGTCAAATTGAAACCTCAATTAGATGACACTTACCACCCTAAGTTGATTGCATCATTGAAAATTGAAAAGAAGCACATGTACATAGCTTCCTGATTGGGAATACTATTTCATTTTATTGATAGTGAGCATCCTGGCAGTTCAAGTTATTTGGCCATTCATAAACCATTTACTTACTGCATATCATACAGATATGAATTGACAAATTTTAAATATGATTTCATTTCGTATTGGGATCCTACAGGCATTATCACTTTTTGTAGTTCTATGGTCTAATGAATCAAATTTGATATCTAGTTTCAACCTATCAAATTATGCAGCCTTTTGCATGCGTTGTTTTAGAGGGTGCACCCATTAACACATACATAAATGTACATCTTTGTATATGCATAAACATTGGAATGCGAATATACAACTTGCCTTTCCAGTTCTTGCAACTTCTTTGATACCAAACTTGCTTAAGTTTCTTTGAACAGCAACCACCTTCCCAGGGTCTCCAGTAACCTGAGACATCCACATGGAGTGAACTAAGTTTATAAGCGTAGGTGGAATTGGAACCAGTAAGACTATAAGAGGCCACAGAGGCAAATGAAAGATTGCATACACTAAACAGAGTATATTAGCTAGAACAATTTTTAAAATTTCCAAGACCTGCAAATGTAGGCTGAGTGAACAAAACTACTAAAAGATATCAAATGCTCATGAAGTAGGGTTAACTCACACCAAAAATAAAATTCATGGTTTCACCAATTTAACTAATCTAATATGTGCTGATAAAATGCGTGAAATAACCAATCTAGTATGTGTTGTAATGTAATTGTATCATAACATAAACAAAAGATTTGGCACTGCTGGATGTAATGGAACAAGTTTTTTCTTGTCTCCTTTTTAATTGTAAAAGGATTCTAATATTCTCATGTCCACTCAGCTGGTCGGGGAGGAAGTGGACAAACATGTTGAAAGTCCAAAAAAGAAAAAGAAAAAAAAAACTGTATATAATGCTGAATGATGTGGACTTTATACTTCCATCGGGATTGAAACAGTTGTATCTTGCTTTTTTCAGAGAAAATAAGAAAACAGATTTTTCAGAGAAAATAAGAAAACAGATAAAAATAATAATTTCATTATACAACCACCGACAAGAACTAGTAATTTTCTGGTAATATCGCATACTGCAATGATCTTTTTGCCACATAAATCAGAGCTGTAAGTTTTTGTATGCCTAGGCACCTAAGATATATACTGGGACAGGTAGGTGTTAGAGCCTATATGTCCTAAAATGATCACATTAAAGCTGAGAGTCACAGCCATAGGAAATGAAACTGCAACACACAACTATAAGAGTAAAAAAAATCTGACAAAATTCACCTCAATTGTCAGTGAATGTTCAGAGATATCAACAATTTTTGCTCTGAAGATGTCCACTAACCACATGATCTGAAAAATTAGAGCAGACAAACAAGATCAAGTAAAAGGATGTATTAAAACAATAAAAGAGCATCTTAAACAGTGCTCATAACCGTCAAACTAGAAAATAACTCCGTTTTATCCCCAGAATTATCACCTACAACAAATACAAGGTAACCTCACTGGTGAATGCCTGCAATACACCACCAATGCATAGCACAATGACAGCCTAGTATAAATGCAATTGGGCCAAAAAATCAGATATATATATACACACACAATCGAAATCAAGCCAGGTTGTTAACATATCATCATGTTCTGTGGGAAAAAAAAACACATTTTGGCATTTCATATAGATAGAGTACACAATCATTTGGAAAGCACATATCACTGACAATTAATCTTGGGGGTCGAGCATTTACTCATACACGCCTGAAAAATAGAAATCTTGTAGATAAACTAAAACAAAAATCAAATGAGAAGAAAATTTGTATTGGAGAATGAAGTAGTGAGGCAAAGTTTCTTGGAAGGAATCATGCTTAATTATCTATAGGCTGATGCGTAAACAGTATCAAAAGGAAACAGTTTATTCAAGCATTGGTTGGATTTAATTTAAATGTTTACCTCTGCGAGGGTACTTGGATCTGCATTCAGTTTGATAAGCATCAATTCACGTTCTACATGTTCCTCCTTTGATATGTCTTCAACCTGATAGAGTAGAACCATAAGCGAAGATAATGCAGAAGCAATCATGCACCTGTTTTTTAAAAATTTACATTGGGGACATGGAATAGGGAGCAGATGTGAGGGATCACAATTCCTGGAATCAATTATATGAAGATAACCTTATTGGAAGTTTGTAAATCATCATTCTATTCGTCCTCTTGAAAAAGGGGACTTATTAGAGTTAATAAAGAACCCAGATAAACTGTAAACAAAATTCTATTCGCCCTCGTGTAAAAATTTTCTCTTTCATGGTCGGTCAGCAGAGGCAGCTCGCCCTAGTCTGATGGACTCTAGTAGTATGTTGAAGAACATAACCATATGATGATACCCTACAGCACTTGGATGCAAATATGTACTGAACTAACTCTTACTGGAAGGATAATTGACGAGTAGAATCAATGCCTTGGGATCTGTCTGAATTAGATTATCATGTCAAAACATCCAGTACATCTTTCATGGTACACAGGAGAAGAAATAAAAATGAATAGTTATGTTATCTATGATACAAGCACAAAAAAAAAAAATATATGTTGAATCTCTTTCAATTTATTCCAAACATCAGCATCAAATTTATATATGTTACCAAATATCATTTTGGAACAACACCCAACAGCCAGAAGGTTTTGTACAAAATACTAAAGTAATGCCGTTCTGTAAGGAATATTTTTAGAAATAAATAAGTTTGAATCATAACCTTTATCACATTCACCAACTTGTTGAGCTGTTCAACAACCTGCCGCAAAACCTTTTCAGTTCCAGACACAACTATGGTAAAGAGAGCCTTATCTTTGTTCAAACCAACGGCAAGGGACTCAATATTGTAACCCCTCCTGGCGAAAACCCCTGCTATTCGGTTTATTATTCCACTCTCATCACCAACAAACACCGAAATTGTATGGCGTTTCACCCTGAAATGATTATAGAATCAAAATTGATAACTTGAAATTGCACATTGGAAAGTGAAATAAGGTTTTCTCAGTTGCCTTTTGAGAATTAAAATTTCTGGTTCATGTATGACAAAAAAGCAATAGACTTCCAAATGCATGCACGACCTGGCATGCAGAATCAGCAAGAGGGAAGCTGGTTCCCCGACCAATCGACAGATTAAAATATGGGAAAAGGCAAGATCAGGCCAACAGAATTAATCCCCTCCCCAACCCCTTCTTCAGGCTGTTTAATGCAATTTGGCATATAGCCAAAGCTTAGACGGACTACTTCATGTTTATAAGCGTAGCCTTATTTCCATCTCTACGCATTACAGAAGCTTAGAAAGGAAAAATAAACAGAAAGAAAATAATCGTTTCTGTCATTCTCATTTATCATAACACGACCATTCGTGTACTTACTTTTTCTAACCTCGTCATAACAGTGGAACTCCCAAATCAGTTATTCACTCCCTTGGTGCATTCTTTTAACTAAATTTCACAATTGAACAGTACGCATAAAATTGGTTCTGGTCTCCATCAAAGTCGACTCACCACAGCTTTAAAAATCAGCTTGGAACAATTAAATTATAGCCAATTACCAACTGGAAAAATGCAAAAAATTTCATTATATATTAATAAAAACAAAAACAAAAGTAACAGTGTTAAAAGTTCCATGCAAAACCACTTGATCAAACAACTGAAATTTCAAAACCCACAATATTGAGCTCAACACCCCTCAACTTCAAGACCAAAAACAAACTAATTTCAACCAAAAATTGCACCAAATGTACCAAAAGAAATGCTTCATTACATACAAAGCAAGCACAAAAAGAAATGGAAAAGTAAAACAGAAAGAAAACAAACTCACGAATGGTACTTACTTAGAGCGAATCAATGAAGGCACAGGATCAGTGACAGAAACTGCATTGTCAGTGCTAGCAGAGACCACCCACTCCTTCAGGTGGAAAGTCTTCCATTTGAGTGGTTTCTGGTGGCCAAAATCAAAGCTTTTCAAAAACCCATGTCTGATATCCACTCTGAGACTTGGTTTCTGGGTCATCAGTGGAGTTGAGCATGGTGATGACACGGCGGCCGCCATTGTTGGATTTAGAGAGAAAGCAGCCGACAGTGTTTTATATTTGAGAGAAAGACCTTAAAAATCACATTCATGCATAGCCATTTGTCACTAGTAGCACGTGGTGTTTTGAGTCTTGATGAACGGTGATAGTCATACGATGGCTTTTCGCCACACAAAGCTCACCTGGACCCAACCCCAAAACGACTTGTTCACCGCCTCTCTTTACACTTCCAATTGAACCCAAAAAGAAAAAACCTAATTTGTGAAAACAAAACCTACACTTCTTTCTCTGCCCAAAAAAAAAAACCTACACTTCTTTCTTTTTCTGGTCAAACAAAACCTACACTTCAATTGGCAATAAAACCTACACTATTTTCTAGCAAAAAGAAGTTATGTCATCCCATATTACTTACACAAAATTTTCATTATTGTACATAAATTGAAAGTGAATGTCAAAACAAAATGATTATTAAAAATGCATGTAGGAATTAATAATAATACCAGATAAAAATTTATATAATAAAAAAATAGATGAATCATAATTTATTGATACTATTCTCTAAAAGGGAGAAAAATAAATTTTGTCATCCACGCATATTATAATACGTGTACAAGATGTACCATGTGACCATCCTACCATAATATTCTCTAATTTCTCCTATATAAGGAACAAATATGGTATATACATAGGAATAAAATGGCGATTTATTGATACAGCAATTACAAAAACAAAACAAAAAAATCATGAATCAGAGTGAGATAGATTCAGGGCACCACATAGGCTGGGGAGTGAATAGACACTGTGAAGAGGGCATAAGCAACCCCAGAACAAAACACTATGGTAAGCGCCCACCCGCATATGAACTTGAACAGGAGCTTCCAGTTTACATTCTGCCAAAAAAAAAAAAACCTAAGTTCAAGAAGTTTTAGTTGAAACGAGTAACTAATATAAGCACAATTATAGAATAGATAGTAAAAAACAGAGGAGAAATCTCACTCTAGGGTCATCTGCAATCCCAACTCCTACTAATGATCCAACAAAAGCATGAACACTTGAAACAGGAAGATTAATCTTATGGACCAAAATCATTGTTGCCACTGCGGACAATTGTGCTGCTAAGCCTCTTGAGTTACTTATATATGTCAGCTTCCCACCTAGACACTGAGTCAGCCTCCTCCCACAGACTAAGAAACCAATTGCAGCACCAAACCCACCAATTGCCCTAAACCACCACCAAGTCACATGGATTGGTTCCTACAAACAAACAAGCATATCTCTTGAATTTTGATTGGTCAAGATGATAAGTTATATAAAATACGATAGCAGTTAAGATAAGGCAACTTTCAACTCACCACATCTTCCCCATTTCCAGAATATTTTTCTCTGTGTCGAAAAATATCAAGTATAGCTCCATATGGACTTACAATGGCAGATACTTCATTAGCAGATTGAATGACTCTGCAGGCACAAATGTGTTAATATAGGTCACTCATGTAGTGTACTTAAGTTTGCGAGTAGACATATATTTGCATGCATGTTGTGAACTTACGCGAAGATACATGAAGCTATAAGCTGTGGGGAACTGAAGAAGCCTTCCATATCATCATATTTTTCAGCTAAAGCGTGGCGGACAAGGGTCTGTCTGTCGTATTCGATTGCCTATTCATTACATAAGCATAGCACAATATAAGATAATGTTATTTTGCCGGACTTATAATGCTGATAGATGCTTATTTTTTCAAACAAATAGTTTTGTTATGCTTATGTTCGGATTCCAGGTATAAGAAGTGCAGGACTCACAGGAGAGAAAACTGATTTTGATGAACTTTTTATGAACCGGAAGGCATTTTCGACAGGTGTTGCTTTGTCAATCTTCTGAAAGTGCCTTGTTTGATCCAGGTTTGGTGAAGATTGAAGCAACTGTTTGAATGAAGTAGATTTCTCTGTATTAGACTGATCTTCAGAAATTGAATGATCATGAGCAGGCACAGGCTCAGGTTCTTGTATTGAGTCCGGTGAAGCCCAGCTCTTTTCGTCCTCCTCTTCATACACAGTATCAAGGACTCTCATCTGCATGAAGTCTTTTAAGGCTTCTTCAAACTGTGCTTCATCATCTGAAGATTTTGTATTGCATGCTTGATCTTGACTTTCTATGCTTTTTTTCTCTATGGATTGAGACATGTTTCTCTTCATGGTCTTGTACTTTTTGGCCGCATTTAATTTTTTCATGGCCGAAGGAACCACCACAACCTATTACAAAGAGATTCGAATTGAGATTGAACATATGAACAAATCATGGAGGGAAAAGGAAGATATAAACAAATCTGTTGTAATAGATGTTACCGAAGATAATAGCGCTCCAGTCATGGTCGCAGCTGCAACTGCAACAATAGCAACCCAACTATTAACAGCTGTTTTATATGGTATGACCTGCAATATGGAAAACAATGAAGGAGGAAAGATAATTGATGCAAACAATGGCCTTGTAAAACATGATGCTGCTTCTTTTCTACCATACGTACATTGTCGTACAAGATTAGATAAAAGAATCTATAATTTTGAACCAATTATAAGAAAGTAACCTGAAACATGAGAAAGAGGCAAAGCAGTCCAGCAGATATTCCATAGCCAATTGGAAGAAAAACAAGAATCCTTTTTTCGGTATTTTCACCGCGAAGTAGAGAAGCCTTCATGACAGTAAAGAGGAAGAATGCACATACGCAGGCAATGAATGGCGCAACAGTCCATTCAACAAATATCCAAACAAGTCCTCCACCATTGAAATTGTGATTTTCATTCTGCATTTCACCATCACTTGAGAATAAGGAAATGAAATAATTATGGGGGACAAGTCAAACATAAACATTTGACATCAAAGAGTTACAAGTTTCCGAAACCAAGATAACACAAATTCGATGATATTTTTACCAAGAATAAATCATACCATTGACATTTTTCAACCTCTTAAATTTTTAGTGTGCAACATCTTAAACAGCCAATTGAATTTATAACTCCTTACCTTATTCCAGAGGGGCATGTAGCTAAAACCTTCAGTAACAAGTATAGTTCCCAAAAGAGCACCTTGCATTGATTGTTGAGCTGAGACTGGCAGCTGCATATTTGTAGCCAGAGCAAGCCAAATTGCTGCCCAAAATCACAGGCTTATAAATGTCACGAAACAAACTTATGCCCACATTTGTCTTTTTTAAGTAAGAACAAGAAATCATATCTAAGCATGAGAAGAAAGACCAGTTCAATCTTCGCAGCCACTAGAAAATTCAATATGAAGCTAATTAACAACATTCTCTTTTGGTCTGACAATTAACCAAGTCTTGTAGTACCTGCCGTGACGAGAACAACTACCATGCTCCACATCAAGAAACTTTCACTTGGCTGATTTTCCTTGAGAAACTGGGAAAATAGATAACTATCAGCTAATTATAACTAACTGTTTTATGGTGCTTTTGGAGGTAAAGGAATTGAATTTAGGCACCACAAGTGTTTTATACATACATCAGAAAACAAATCATTGACAGTGTTGCCGGAATTCGCAAAGGCTGCCCCAGGAACATAGATTGCACAAGCCAATGCAAATGCCTTTAAAAGTGTCAAAGCCCTTGATCCAACAGGTGTTGAGAACTGACAAATATCAAACAAACAACATTTTCCAGATGCCATAAATTGGGAAATATCAAATTTCTTATTTCATATTCACAATGTATTTGCTTGTGATCGATTTGTTCAAGTTGTGTGCATAAAAATGTGACTATTGAAATGAAACTCCTTCTCTTCCCATCATCTAAGTTTTGTTTACAAAGCCACTAACCGGAGCTGGAAGATTGTTGGCACCAGTTACAAAAGCCATTGCAATTGCAGCAACAGCTCCAAATATTGGTATCCATCTATAGGTCTCCTTCCAATTCCCCAGAACTTTGATGGCTAAATCAATCGGAACTTGGTCATTCTTTGATGACATTTCTGTTTTTGTTTATCCCAGTTTCGATCGATTCTTAGGATGTATGCCAAGAAGGAGGGTGATACCTGATACCATATAGATTAATGATTATCGTTATTGGCATTGGTTTTATCTCCCAACTGCATAGGTTGTGCTGTTTTTTCTTGTGTTCGTACTCTGTAGTCTGTAGTATCTTCTTGTTTTAGTGGTTCTTTGACATTGACTTGTGTGTTGTTTTACTTGTCATTCATTGGGAGAGGGCTCAGGCACTGCTTTCTTTCTTTATTTTTTGCTCGAGTATGGATGTGATGCAACATATTTGCAACATGTCCAACTTGAGGACGGCCAATAAGAGGAGAAATTCTTAAGTCTGCTGGGTGAACCACATCACCTTCGGCACCCCTCACAAGCACTCACTATGACCCTTGCATTTGGGTCACACACAACCCCACGTTGATTCTGACCCAAATACAAGGAGACTCGGTATATATGATGGGTGTCGGACTGGTGACACCGTCCACCTGCAACACCCAAGAATATCTCCTATGAACAATTATGAGCATCCACTGTTGATAAATGATAAGATTCATAGTTTTAGGCCAGCAGCATCTTTGACACTTTCATTTTGGCTATCTGCAGGACTTTATTCTGTCAAGTGGGCTGAACTTTGAATAAAAGGCATATATATGTCTTAGGCTCCGTTTGGTTCATGGAACATATTTGAGGGGAAATTATTTTTCATGTTATTTTCCAAGGAATGGGAAATGGAAAATTCATTTCCCACACTTGGTAATGTTGGGAAAATAATCGAGAGATATCACTTTATTTCATTTCTCATGTTTGTTTTGAGTAGGAATGAAAAACAAAGTTTGTATAAATTTTCAATTATACCCATAATAAATCAAATTTAAAAAAATGCATTTAATGATATATTGTAATTTTAAATTCTTAACAAGGACAAAATAATCATGAAAAATGTTTATTTAATATTGGCTTATTTTCCCAAACTTTTCCATGAGAAGGGAAAACAAAATCCAAGTTGGGAGGATTATTTTATTTTCTCCTCTACTTTTTCATGGGCCTGGCAATGATTTCTTATGCCTGGATTTACCAAACATAGGAAAACAATTGATTTCCTATTCCCAAGTCTCATTTCCCATGAGTCAAACGAGCTTATTACTTTTAGGAGATGCGTTTGGTCATTTGGTTTTTTCATAATATTTCTTGACGCAATAAACTTCTCAAGTCAATCTATATTAGAATAGGACTCTTCGATTCCATTGGGGAGACCAAAGCCTTTGAAAATATCACAACAAAGAACTATTAATAAAGAGTAGATCAGATGAGGTGCACTTTACCAAAAGAATATTCGGTGGAATAAATCTCACTCGCAACATGAATTTCTGAGTGCAATACACATCATAATGTTACACACTATTTTGTCAATGTCACGTCTCAATCTTGAAAAATATATAATTTCTCAAGTTGTGCTATAACTCACGTCACGTCTCGTAAAATATGAAATTTTCCCGAATCACAACGTGACAAAGTGGTATCGAAGCCAGAAAATAATAATACAAATTTATAAATAAACCCAATCCTAGACATGTATTTATAAAAAAACCTAAGCACTATTTAAACATAGAAACACACCCAAAATCAACCCCAAAGTCAACTTTTTGGGTGTGTTTATAAATGGGTTTTGAGTGTGTGTAATGATGGGTTTTGGGTGTGTTTATATGTTTAAATAGTGCTTGGGTTTTTTTATAATTTCAACCCCCATTTTGGGTGTTTTAGTGAAACTCCCAAATAATAATGTACATCAAATTGTTCTCAAAGCCTGCCCTCACCCTCACCTTCCATGCAGAACTTAAAAATTAGGTAAAAGAAAAGGAAGCTAGTCAAATGTATGGTCTTAGTCTTCCCACATACACATTTTTTATAAGCCGGTAACGCCCCTAAATAAAATGCCCCTCATTCCTTGGTTTATTGAAGCAGCAAGCCAAGTATAATTCGGTCGCATAAACCAAATCCAGCAGGGACGAAAGCGACATTGCATCCTTTTAGCCCCAACCATGGAAAGTATACGTGGACTTAAATAACCCCCCACCAGAGACCACCAACCCAACAACAACGAATTGTAATTTAAATTGCAATTTTGCCCACAAAGTCCAAAGCCAAAACCCACGTGCCTGCCCAGGCCCCACTGTTTCGGTGACGTCATTGCTGACATCATCACCTTTCTTTCTTTGTTGCCTTATCCGTATTTTTTTTTCTCGTATTTATATGGCGCCCATGTGGCAAATTGTGTTAAAGGCAGAGCTTGCACTTTGCCGCCCCACACCGTTCACCGATGCTATTCCAAAGGCTAGAGGGTGAGTGACTTCGCTCTTCATTCTATCTACCAATTTGATGATCATGCAAACAAGCCACCAACTACTTGTTTCAAAATACATAGATTCTACAAGAACCACATTTTCTTCCATGCCTGCACCCTAGGTTTAGGGGTAGCAACAAATTCATCTCTTAAACCGAAGTATTCATTTAAATAAGTCGGTTTTACGATACGAGAATCAAATAACGTGATAAGTAAATAACGTGACCAAAATTTTGTGTATCTCATTTTTATTTTCATATGATATGGAGAAAATGCACATGAACAATCGACCAACTAATTGCTAGTCACTTGTGATAAATCCAAAGTTCCAATCCATTATCCAGCATATTTTGAGAAAAAGCAACAAAAAAAAAAATGCAAAAGTAAGAAGAGAAGTTAGAAATACTTGTGATCGTAGAAAGCAGACTTATAACACAGAAAATTTAAGTGAGTGGCAAAAAACGTGCCGAAAAATTCCTTGTCGGTACGTGTCATCAAAGCTATGAGGAAGTTGTAGATATTTAAGCGGGCCGTGAAAACACCAGATAATTTTCATGAGTCATCGAGTGGGTATATATCCGACGACGTGTAGGGCCCAGGGGTGGGCTTCGAACGTACATAGGTCGACGTGGCCCCACAAATTTTCCACACGGTGTATGGGATGCCAACGCAGTGATGGATTTTGACACGTCATCAAATGCCTTCGCACGCGGGAGTAAGAGGCGCGTGAGGCGAAGTTTGAACAATGAGCCAGTTGGCATTACTGGGTAGTCTACTGGCCAACCTTATCTTCTTCTTTAATTTTTTAGTTTTTTATTTCCTAAAATATATAAAAACAATATTTTTATTCATTTTGCTCCTCCGAAAAGAGGGAAGCAAAGCATTGTTATATTGTATGGGCGGAGAGAGAGAGAGAGAGAGAGAGATTGCAAGTGAATCTTGGGCATTCAGAGAAGACCAAACCAAACCCTAGATTTCTTTTCTGCTGATTTCAGCAATAATTCATTTTTTATTTCGATTTTCAGATCCAATCTGTACCTGGGAACGATTCAAAATTTGTTCTTTGAAAGCTCTGAAAGGTATCATTTTTTCGTTCTTTTTTGTTGTTTTTATCTTATGAAAATATGATGATCATTGCGTTCAATTCAGGCTCAAGTCTATATCTTTTTTAGGTTATAAATTGGACATGCGATTTTATGCTGTATTGCAGTTTTTGGTATATGGGAATGGTATTAAGTATTGGTCATTTGCAATGTTTGAATCTAGTTTAGGTATTGGAATGAATGCTTTGATGATACGGACCTGCTTATTTTGCTATAAATTGGTTCTTGGTCTCTGTAACGATGCCTGTTTATTTCATGTTATTACAGATCCTGCTCAATTATAGTCATTCCAAGAGGCAAGGAATCTTGGGTCTGGTTTATATTCTGAGATCTTGTCTAAGAATTTTGAGTGGATTGGGGAAACCCAAATAGAAGTTGTTCAAGATGATGTCCAAATCGTATACCAATCTTTTAGATCTAGCTTCTGGAAACTTTCCAATAATGGGTCGGGAAAGAAGGCGACTTCCTCGTGTAATGACCGTTGCCGGAGTTATATCGGAGCTTGATGATGATCAGGCCAATAGCGTGTCTTCGGATGTTCCATCCTCGGTTATGCAGGACCGTATAATTATAGTTGCCAATCAGCTCCCTGTAAAAGCTAAGCGTAGACCTGACAATAAAGGATGGAGTTTTAGTTGGGACGAGGACTCATTGCTATTGCAGTTAAAGGATGGTCTACCTGAAGAGATGGAGGTTTTATATGTAGGTTCTTTGAATGTTGAAGTGGATTCAAATGAGCAAGATGATGTATCACAGCTCCTGTTGGATAGGTTCAAGTGTGTTCCAGCCTTTTTGCCTCATGACATTTTGTCCAAGTTCTATCATGGGTTTTGCAAGCAGCATTTGTGGCCTTTGTTTCATTACATGCTTCCGTTCTCAGCAAATCATGGTGGGCGGTTTGATCGGTCTTTGTGGGAGGCATATGTGGCTGCAAATAAAATTTTCTCGCAAAGGGTGATCGAGGTAATAAATCCAGAGGATGACTATGTCTGGATTCATGATTACCATTTAATGGTGCTGCCTACCTTCTTGAGGAGGAGGTTCAATAGATTAAGAATGGGTTTTTTTCTTCACAGCCCATTTCCTTCTTCAGAAATATATAGAACTTTACCAGTCAGGGAAGAGATTCTAAAAGCACTTCTAAATTCGGACCTTATTGGTTTCCACACTTTTGATTATGCTCGACATTTCTTGTCTTGTTGTAGTCGGATGTTGGGTTTGGAGTATCAGTCAAAAAGGGGTTATATTGGGTTGGATTATTTTGGAAGGACAGTTGGGATAAAGATCATGCCTGTTGGGATTCACATGGGGCAGATTGAGTCAGTGTTGAGACTTGCAGATAAGGAGTGGAGGGTAGAAGAGCTTAAACAACAGTTTGAAGGAAAGACTGTGCTGCTTGGTGTTGATGATATGGATATCTTTAAAGGTGTCAACTTGAAGCTCTTGGCAATGGAACAGATGCTGAAGCAGCACCCAAAGTGGCAGGGAAGAGCAGTTCTGATACAGATAGCAAATCCTGCTAGGGGAAGAGGGAAAGATCTTGAGGAAACACAGGCTGAAATACAGGCAAGCATCAAAAGAATTAATGAAAAATTTGGTCAGCCTGGTTATGAACCTATTGTATTCATCGATAGACCAGTCTCTCTTAGTGAACGAGTTGCATATTACACCATTGCTGAGTGTGTAGTGGTCACGGCTGTGAGAGATGGGATGAATCTTATTCCATATGAGTACATTGTGTGCAGGCAAGGAAATTCTGTATCAGAATCTAATTCAGAATTCAGTGGACCTAAGAAGAGCATGCTCATAGTATCCGAGTTTATTGGATGTTCCCCTTCACTGAGTGGTGCAATTCGGGTTAACCCATGGAATATTGAATCAACGGCTGAGGCTATGAACGAGGCAATTTCAATGGTTGAACCTGAAAAGCAGTTGCGCCATGAAAAGCATTATAGGTATGTTAGTACACATGATGTGGCATACTGGTCACGAAGCGTTTTCCAAGATATGGAGAGAACATGCAAAGACCATTTCAGAAGACGTTGCTGGGGTATTGGTTTGGGCTTTGGTTTCAGGGTTATAGCACTTGATCCTAACTTCAGAAAGCTGTCTATTGATGCCATTCAGTCTGCTTATTTGAGATCCAAACGTAGGGCTATACTGTTAGATTATGATGGTACTGTGATGCCTCAAACATCTATAAATAAGAGCCCAAGCCAAGAGGTCATCTCTCTCATAAATACACTTTGTGGTGATGTTAAAAACACTGTTTTTGTGGTCAGCGGAAGAGGGAGGGATAGTTTAAGCAAGTGGTTTTCTCCTTGCAAGAAACTTGGAATTGCTGCTGAACATGGTTATTTTGTGAGGTATATCCATTATCTATTTGTCCTTTACGATTATCCTTGCTTTTGTTTGCTCAAGTATGAATTGTGTTTTATTATGTGGTATGCAGACACTCCTTTCTTTTGTTTGCTTAAATATGAAGTTTGTTTTTCAGGTGGTCTGCGGACAAGGATTGGGAAATTTGTGGGCAGAGCAATGATTTTGGATGGATACAGATAGCAGAACCAGTTATGAAACTCTACACCGAAGCCACTGATGGTTCTTCCATTGAAACCAAGGAGAGTGCCTTGGTTTGGCACCATCGAGATGCAGATCCTGGTTTTGGATCCAGCCAGGCTAAAGAGTTGTTGGACCATCTAGAAAGTGTGCTAGCAAATGAACCAGTTGCTGCCAAGAGTGGTCAGTATATTGTAGAAGTAAAGCCACAGGTGAATATCTTAACTCACTTCCCATTTTTAACTCTCTAGGTGAATGCAAATTTTTGTCCACTTGGTGGATACTATTATATACTAGGATCTTCATCATTAGCATTACCTATTTGTATATCGTCTCAGTAAAAACTCCAATTCTTGATATACTAGGATGTTCACCATTAGCACTACCTATTCCTAATTCATCGCAGAAAATGCTCCAATTTCCATTCTTTCTTTCTTTTTTGGGGTGAGGGGTGAGGGGTGGAAGGGTACTTTACCAAATCATAAAATTATTCTTAGGAGCTCATAGCTTTGTGCGATTAAGCTACCTTGGCATTTGGCAAGTCTACGGTACAAACATACTCAGTTCAAAAACTCTGAGAATTTGTATGTAATCACTTGCCATTGATGGTATGAAGGTCGGCCGTCTATGAGACGGGAATTCTTGGCCACACCTTTTTCAATCATAATCAAGTAACTTTGAGGAATTTCAAGACAATAGCATGCCTGTATTTTTTTTTCTTTTTCTTTTGGCTTTGGTAATGTGGGTTTTGACTACAAATAGCCTCATGAGAAAGATTTTAAAAGGTTAAGTTGTAAGGGTATGGCAATGCTTGACATTAGCTCATGAGAGAAATCTCATGGAGAAACCATGGTAGTAAGCTTGACTGACAATTTTGCAGACAAATAGTTTGCTTGCTGATGATAAAAGACTACGGAATTCTTGCAAACAAATAGATTTTGTAAAGTGCATATGATGATTGAATCCTACTTTTACTTGTGACTTTTAGGGAGTCAGTAAAGGCGTGGTCGCTGAAAAGATCTTCACGTCAATGCACGAGACTGGAAAGCAGGCTGATTTTGTACTGTGCGTTGGTGACGATAGATCTGATGAGGATATGTTTGAGATTATTGGCAATGCAATGACAAATGGTGTCCTCTCCTCTAATACCAGTGTTTTTGCATGCACTGTTGGACAGAAACCCAGTAAAGCAAAGTACTACTTGGATGACCCTAGTGATGTCATAACAATGCTTGACGCTCTTGCAGAAGCTTCAGACTCTCCGCCCTCCTCAGATGGCGAATCAGCTTCCCCGTGAAATCTTCCTCCATGACTTTGTTAAGACTCCAGTGTCTTCTTCTTTAAGCCGATGATGATGAATCACATGCTGGACCTTGATTGAAAGAAACAAATCATTTTCAGCTATTTGGATGTGAATTGTTGGAGGACGACTTCATGACCTTTTTGACTGATGATTTGCGGCCGGTTCAAAAACATCGGGAGCTCTGATCTTCTGTGATATAAACCATCAATGCAGAATGTGGATTATAGTGGGGGCTTGGTAAAAAACAGAACTTAAATCAGCTCATACTGAGGATTTGATGGAACCAACAATGTGACATGAACAAATTCAATTGTTACATCACATATACGCGCAGGTTGACAAGTCTGACGAAGGTGCAGGCTACGTGTATTCTAGAAACATTAGATTTTGTTACTGGTGGGGAGATGGCATTCTGGTAGCAACAGGAGGCGTCTGCTGGTCAATCAAATCTCCATTGAAACAGTATACTGGTTTTTCTTTTTCTGGAGTGAATTTTCTTTGCCATTTGTTTCTTGGATCAAATCCTTTGCTTATTGAATCTGTAAATTATATAGCAATATTTGCAAGAAATGATCACGTTTTCAAAGAAGAGCCAAGTAGTGCACCTTTCAGATCACTGGTAATTGAAAGGAGCATTCTTCAAGTCTAACCAATGAAGAAGCAAATGTTTACATGAAAAAAGTTATGCGTTTGTTGCTCTTGGAGAGAGTTTTAACATGCATGGGTTAAACAAAGATATACAGTCAAGTACATTTTGAGGTTCAAAATTAAAATGCAAGGTAGAGAGTTCTAACAAGGAGAAAAACAATATTTAATAGGTTGGAGAAGGGACTTGGGACTGGACCAGAAAAACTTTCTTAGGTCCGTTTCATTGACGCTTTCTTTATGTTTCTCTCATCACGTCGCTTATAGAAAGTAGGAGAACGATAAGTAGAAGGGGACAGTACAACCCGGGTAGGAAAGTATTTCTTGACCCGGACAATTACAAACAAACAACCAACAGGACTGCCTTGCAGTTTGCATTGAGAATCACATCGCTAGTTTCCAGAGCCGCTTCACGGTTTTACAACTTCATAGCCCAAGTACCACCCCAACATTATCTCTCCAAGTATGACCCCATATCTTATTTGCCTTCTAACACACAAGTGAATAAATTCCACCATGGGAAACAGAAACAGTGTTTCTTAGTTGCCAAAAGTTTGAGTATGTGGCAAAGGAATTGATTGCTGGCAATTGCGACCTCTAGATCTAGACGCACACAAATGCTGAACTGAGTCAGCTATGCTGTCTTGCAAGGCAAAGGCCCGTGAACCATGCTCAGACTCAGACCCTATGAAGCCTGATAATATTGGCACAATGGGACAGTAAAACAAAAGGATGATCACCAATTATAGAGGCCTACATTGGTGCTATAAATCAGAAACGCACCAAACAACCGAAGGTCCTCGTCCTGCCAACACTACCTTAAGCAGATACATACAAATGTGTACAAAAAGGTTGTTCAAAGCCCTACAGGCAAGGCAATGATGTTGCATACAATTATTTCATCTAAATCACTGAATTTCATGGAAGTTGAATAACCTATTCTGTTGGAGAAGAACATCACGGGTATAACTATGTTTTTCTATCTCCAATCAATTACATTCCGTCACGTGAAAAAGTCATCACACGTGACAGAACATAATTGATTGAGAATAGCAAAACAATGTTATCCTGTGATATAAAGGTTTTTCTCATTCTATAGGATGTAATAATTACATTAAGCATTTATCAATCGAAAACAGTTGCAGAAAAATATGGATTGAAGGTTTTGCCCCCAAACCCATTTACTTGATCTCAAGATTAAGACAGAAAACCCCTCTGGTCCACACAACCCAACTGGCCTCTCTCCTCCATTACCATGATCCAAATCCAGATCATATTTTCTCTGCGCCACTTTCACATGTAGTTCAGGATGCCATTGCTGACATTGCTCCTATTACCAGAGTCTCACTTTTAACATCTACCATGCCCCAAGAGAAACACAACACCACAATCCAGTAACCACATAAAATATGCTTTAGTTCTTCAAGTGAAAACTGAGCAAATATTATTATATTATATAGAGCAAGGAAGACATTTAATTTTGTATACATTTCTGCTACAACCTAAACCTACCACTTTGGACCCACATTACATCCAATGGCTCTGCATTATTTACATTTCCTATCACCTACCATATCACCATCCGATCTTAAATTCTTCAATCCAAGACCCAAAACCAGCCATCACCATCCGATTGTAAATACTTGAATCCAAACTGTCTAAGTTCCAAAACAAAGTACCATTCACACCGGAGAGTGCAAATTAATCATCGGCTTGCCGGAGCAGTCACTGGAGACAAGTAAACCTGGCTCTGTATCACCGTCTTCCCAATCTTGAACCCTGGCACAACTGTGAAACTCACTGAAGGCTCTGTATCGACATCGTTCGGAGTCACAGACTCCATGTACACCTCTGAAAATCTGGAGCCTTTCTTGACCTGAAAGATGGAAACTTGTTGACCAAATGAGAATGCCAAGCAATGCAAAAGCCAAACCCGCATCGACATTTCTGCAAACGCCGCAAAAAATGCAGAGTCTGGAACCCCACCGGTGCTTAGGAGCTTTCTCTGGTTTAAATTCCCAAAAAGAGAACACTCCATCTTTGCGTGAACGAGTTGAAGGTACTTGGCCCGAGTGAACTTACAAAACGATGAACTTGGGTTCTGGGCAAGAAAGTTTTTTGAATTTACTGATATGAGTTTCTTGAATTTCTCAAAAAAGAGAAGCTGGGTTTTGTTGTTAAGGGGCAAAGACTCACTGGGTAGCCCAAAGTTTGGGTTGTTGAAGCCTTCAAGCATGGTTTTGCTCACAAATGATTCGAACGCAAAGCAACTATGGCTCTGTTTTGCGAAAATAGAGTCTGGCTCGATGAATTTGATGGCTGTATCGAGATCCCAGTTTGCAGATTCCATTTCACGGATCATCAGCCTCACGAAGCTCCTTATGGATCTTAAAGTGTGTTGCTGAAACTGAACAAAATGTGTTGGGTTGAGCACCGAAAGCCGAAGATTTTCGAACATGGACAGAGACAGAGAGCCACTTGCGTTTAGCTTGTTTTCCAAGGACTTGTTGAATGAGACACAATCTTCAAGCTTTTTTTGGAGAGAATAAATGTCTGTGCCCTTGTGTTCAGCTTCAGACTCCAATTTCTTGATGGTGATCTCATAGGTCTTCATTAGCCCCTGCTGCTCTTGAATCTCTGCAAGCATTAGAGTGACCTGGGGTGAGAGATCGAGCTCTTTCTTCAAAAAGCTGCGTTTCAATTCTGATATGGCTTTGAGCTCGTCGACGACGGACTGATCAGCCATCTGAATAGCTTCGTTGTTGTATGGATTTTGGGCCATTTGGAGCTCTGCATAGGCAGCTTTGATGGAAGTGATGCCAGCAAAGAGCTTGGCCAGCAAAGCTTCCATGACAGCTCTGTTTCTGGCTTTGAATTCTTCTTCCTTCTTGTCCAAATGCCTATGCTTTTCGAAATGTTCACGGTCCTCCTTGACTTTGGCCTGAGATGTGAGAAGGCAAATGCCATTGTTGGATGCAATTTTGCTGGTTGCGCTTCTGAGGTTGATGACCTTGTGGAAAGTCCTAGCCAATTTGCTCTGCTTGTTGTTGTTGTTGTTGAAGGCTGATTTGGGTCTCATGGTATCCATCTGAAAACAGTGAAAACTCAGATGATCAATATGATGAAAAGAGTGAAACTTGTTGGAGGCATAAACTTAACTTGAGGGGGTTTGGGGGTTTGTGGGTTTGTGGGGATAAAGGAAATAAAAAGTGTTCGAAAGAGAGTGAATTTAATGGGAAAGCAAAGCGCAAACTTTGACTATAAGATTAGGAAGCAGGCTGCAGATAGAGAGGGGTGAGAAAAAGTTGGGATTTTTAAAGCGCGGGAAAAAGAGTGCAGTTACTGAGAAAACAGAACAAGTACTATCAATCAGATCAGAAAATAGAAAACTCATATATATATAAAACCTTTTATTTTTTTGGTTTTGGTGGGGATTTACAATGGTGGTGGTATACAGAGGGACGATGATGGGAGTGATTGATGGCTACCATCTACTCATGGACCCTACCTTGTTGCATGCAAGCAACATCCATTGGAGCACCAGAAGACCCAGAACTTGTAGTGTTTCACTATTGGTCAACATGATTAACGACCTTAACATACACATAGATGCTGAATGAATCATGATGATGATGATGAACTAGGAATGTATGTAGATGCCAAAATGTGACATGTACGTAAGCTGAAAATGATAGCTCTCTTATTATTATCATGAATTCAAAATTCAAAATGTTGTTTACTAATTTTGGTGAGAAACAACGTTTAGCCAACTGTCAGACCAATTGTAATGCATGCGACAAACCTCAGCATACGCATGTTCTTGTATAAACATACAGTTGTTAAAAATAATATGAAATTTAGGGCAGTGAACTTCACTGTTGGTTGGTCAACGTACACTCCACAGTTGGGGATTGTCTTGTAATCAGCTGGAGCTAATCACAGTTTTTACTCTGCCTTTAGCCTCTGGGCACGTAGTTTGCAACTTGTTAATTATGGCTACTGTTTTTGACGCAGCAAGATGATAAAGGAGTAGGGAGATCGAACGATAACCCTAAAGTAATACGTCAGAATTCACAAGGAAAATGAGTAAAACCTCAAGTTGTATTGATTGATAATAAGAAAGATAGTTTATAGACACACTAATGCATCTCTTTTATACATATGAAATCCTAAACACACTAGAAAACCTAATTGGAAGCAAAAACTAAAATAACAAAACTTTCCCAAAATATTCTGAAACTTTAAATGTTGAAAAGTGAAAGCAAACGATAGAATTAAGCTAAAAATGGCCATATCACAGCAAAACGGTGAGTTGCACTCGTCTCACTGTTTCTTCGAAACGGCAAATCAATTATGCAAATTGCGTCGTTTTGTGATTTTGTTGTTTGTTGGATATTTGTTGAAAAAACATTGAAATTGTTTTGAAATTTACTCTAATTTTTCCGCTTTTGGACAAGCATGGTTCCGAATATTAATTAATTAATCTACGTATTTGTAGTGTGGGACCAGAGAGATAATTTCTCCATTTCCAAAAGAGACAGAGCCGAAAGAAGATTGTGACGACATATCAGTCCTGACTGGCTGACTCCCGAGATTGTGGGCACCACACTTCATTCGGTACACCCTTGCTTAAAAATTTTAATAATTGATTTCTTGTCATAAATAAGTTTAGAATCTAACACAGATGTGGTGTGGGTTATGTTACGCCGGTTAGTTAATCTAGTGCGTCCGTTTTTTTCGTAGTCGAGTTCAATTTTTTTTTTGTATATTAGAGTAGTTTAGAATATTACTCCGCTAAAAAGAAAGTTTAAAATCTGAATTCGACCTCTTTTTCACATTAATCTAAGATCATTTGAGATAAAAATTCATAAGGTAGGTAGGACACATTGCATTTGCAAATTTTGCATGTCAATTTAATGGACCAACATGGATTTAATTCAACTCCATTTTAGTTAAGGGTTTCAATCTTGCTTTAATAGCTGGAGGCGTGATCATGTCCCACAAGGCCTACATGTTCAGTGGACCAAATCCAAACTATAATATACATATATATTCAAGAGACGATGTAGATAAGATAGTGGACAAGACAACGGATATGTTTCAAAATTCAAATTAGTGGCCTTCGACATTATTTGGTTTATTTGGTTTGTAGACAAAAATATTCTCCACAAACAAAAAGCTTAAGGTTTGATTATATAAAATTGAGACCCATCCCTACACAAGAAAAAAAGGCAGCGTAGGCATAGAAAACTACTAAAATTTGACCCATAACCCAACACATCCACTTGACTTAGGGACAATGGTGTGTTGGATTTCCATGTTTTATGATAAGAAGAAGAAGGCAAAAAACACCATAAAAAAAAAGGGTAGAAAATTAAACAAACCATTATTGAAAGGATTCAATTGATCCAGATGCATTGTATTCATTTACAAATTCGAAAATGATACGTTATGAACGGTCCCAACTCAAGATATGAAATATGAACTTTTAATGATATAGACTTTAAGCCTACGTCTTCTTCCTTTTCTTGTGTTATGTCTGACTAACAAAATCATGGTTTATGTATTAGATTGTGCACGTCCATGATCATGGCAATGTGTATTTAATTGAGATATATAATGAGTCTTCATTAAAAGATAAACCTTGTAATACACTAAAGTTAACGTTATAATTAATTATGGGACTAAAAGCCAGAAGAACCCCTCCTCCAAGTAATTCCAACACACCAAAGTGGCAACAAAATTAATTCCATGCATTATTATTATTGTTTCTTAATCTTTGCATGGCAGACAAAATTGCTTGTTTATTGAAATACAACATTATTTTGTCATATATTTTATCTACTATATCTATCTAATCTAGTAGGTAGCCACAAATCTATAAGCCTATGCGACATATAATTCCTTCTTTTTTTCTCTCTTTCTTTTTTGGCATGGGAATTTAGTGTATCATTACGCGGACTCAACAGCATTATATCTTTAGCTTCCCTTCTCTTCTATCTGTTTAGGACACAATAATATTTTGTGTAAACTGATCTTCTAATTCCTCTTTTTGGGCATGGGCATGGCCATTTTGAAAATGAAACAAATCATCATGAGCAGATCCTTTCTCTGGTAATCATTTAATTGTACTGAATTATTTGCATGCGATTAGCTTCATGGTGAAGAGAAAGAAAACAGTTTGATTAGAGTAGTGTAAACTACGAAAGCGACGCACGCGATCGTATTAAGTGGCACGCCATGATTACGTTGGTATAATACAGAATTACATATAATTAATTAGGTACACAGAAATTATTCAGTTTGGTAATATGTATTTTACCATTAAGGCTTGCTTGCATTGCTTATATTATTATCAATTTTCAAAGAAGAGGAGAAGAAAACCATACACTAAATTGTTAGCACAAAACCTGATTAATATTGTGTATCGTTTGCACAGAAATTATTGTGCAACAACCCAACAACAATAATGTAATTCTGTCAGATATTTTCATGCAAAAACCCAAGTGGGAGTTACTGTAGGACATTCCACATTCACATTGCCTTCAGTTTCCAACTTTCAATTCCCAGTTGAAAAAGGGTTTCAGAATTAACTTCACACTTGTAATTGAGATTGGAGGGGACTAGTTCATTTTGGTCCTTTGTCCTTCTTGCAGTGCTTCAGTAACTCAGTGCAGGATCAGCTTTCCAGGCTATGTATGAATATTTCTAAGTAAAGCAGAAATGTCTAATCAATGTGACGATAGTCTTTTCTTGTTCTGAATATGTGAGGATATGGAATCCAACGCTTATAACGAAGTGGAAAGGTAGGTGGTTTGAGAAGAACTGTATATCATGGTTGCGTGGTGTACCGTAATGCTAGACAACTGATAGCTGCTAAGCCTCCCTAGAAATTATTTTGTTTCATAAGTTATCTCACGTGTAAACTCAGTGTAATTACCTTCATAATGTTGTGCTCTTATCTGGACCCTTGTCCTTATTATATGATATACTCTTGATTCAATATAAATACAAAGCCTCAGCCACAAATTATGTGTGGCTTTCGAACATATCTTTCGTGTAATGGGTTAGGAATAACAAAACAGTCCGTGATAAACCAAGTTTTCCCTTTGTTGCAGGCTAATCAGATAATTAACTATCGTAAAAGTTGTATGCCTCTAATCAAATATCTTTAGCTGAGTGTCCAGCAAGCGTCTTTGCCAGGAAAAATTATAGCATGAAGAATCCACCCGGAAGACACATACCTAATCTAGTGCAAAATAGGGGTCAATTTTTCAGGCTAATCTAATACTATGTACAAAAATTAAGGCCAAAAGTTGCTAAAGTTGCAAATAATGGAATCCATCCAAAGTTTGAAGTTGTCGATTAACCCGAAGCACCATGATTGCTAGTACATAAAACAAACCAGACAAGAGACAGCATCACTAATCACTAAATAATCATAAAGTAGATCATACGAATACTCTTAATTAGCTTAAAGGTCTCTGAAAACTTAGAAATCCAACCTGATCTGGTTTCTTTTAGCCCAATACAATAGAGACTGGGTTGGGCCCGAACCAAGATATTTCAGTCCAACTGACCCAATGGCATTTGTTTGTTTATAAGAGATTCTAGAAAATTGGAAAAGAAACAGGCAACTTGAACAATGGGCATATTTTTGGATTTTTAGATTTTCTTCACAGGCAACTAAAACTGTTTCAGAGTGCATTCTGAGTTTCTAACATTTGTAAGGTTAGGCTATTCCATAAAAGAAGAGATAACAAGTCGACAACCATAACCAAACTAAAAATTTGACCTCAATTCTACCCTCACATCTCTGAGTCACTAAAAGTTACAGTGGAAGCATAACCAAAGTTAAAAGTTATCAAGGTTACATCTCTCAGTCACTAAAACTATCCTTCCCAGGAACAGATGGCTAGGGGCCTTGTAGGGCTTAAAAGCCGAAAAGGCCAAGTTCACTGACCTTCTCTTTCTCATATGTCTCGAAGTACTGATATATGATTGTAACGGCAAGCAAAATCCCAGTTCCTGAGCCAATTGCTCCCATTAAATCTGCCACAACAGTTAAGGCACCAATGCACAAGCCTCCGAAAGCAGCCGCAGTAGGAATGTACCGATTAAGTTCCTTCTGTAAGTTTGACTCTCTATGTCCAGGCATCACCATTTGTTGTTCCTACAAAATTAAGCAAAATATAAATGCTGATCATTAACTAAACATATTAGTTCACGACTGTGAAGTTGTTTGAGCTGCAAAACTTGATCCTAGAAATCTCATGTCTTCACATTCTTACTCAATGCTATAGAATGAGGCACAAAACGCAACTATCAACACAATGGAAAAAGTTGCTACCAATCACACCCTTGCTCTAGTAGAATTCAGAGTCTGTAGACACCAAATTGGGGACATCCAATGGTATTGATCAAAAATAAAAATCAAAGAACTATGATGAGGATGACTAAAAATACCTTGAGCTGCTTAGCTACATCTCGGGCAGAAGAACCAGAAACTTCAATCCAGGTTTTTGAGAAGAGTGCACAGGCTGAAAGCATAAACACTAGATAAAACAAAGCATGGAAGGGATTGGCTGCCATATCTGCCAAGCTGCAATCAAAACCACATTGACAGAAAAATGAATCAGTGATTCATGTAAATTCTTTTGCAAACTAAACGAAATAAGAAAAGGCAAAGGAGATTTAAAAGGTAAAGTAATCAATGTGCTGGATCACCTTGATGGAGCAGTGACATAGTAGGCAAGACCACCAACTGGTATAAACTGGCCACCAGAATATTCAGACTCCTGCCACTTCCCCAACAAATTCACGAAGAAATTCCCACCATACCTCCTGTAAAGCAACTATACAGAGAAAACAAGTGCCATGTCAATTGAAAAAGAAATGAATTTATGAGCCTTTAATTTTTATTGCCTAGTAGCTTACCTGGGAGATAAAATAAAGATTGGAGACAAGAG